AGAAAGAGAGAAAGAGAGAAAGAGAGAAAGAGAGAAAGAGAGAAAGAGAGAAAGAGAGAAAGAAAGACAAAGACAGGGAAGGAAAGGAGAGACAAAAGTATGATGGAGGCAGGTACAGAGGAACACCATGTAAAGACACACGGAGATGGTGACAGCTATCCAAAGGCCAAGGAGGGGCCATGGAGCAAGCTCTAATAGTGTTGACCCCTTCCTCATGACTTCTACTTTCCATGCTTACGTGAAAATAAGTGTGTGTTTATTTTAGCCACCCAGTCCGATGCTCTCATGGCAACTTTAGCAGGGGAATATGATGCCCTGAAAAGAATGCCTGCTGAGAAAACACACTGAGCAAAGACATGAAAGACTTAGCAAGCTGTGATGGGATAGGAAGATTCAGCAGATTGTATTAAAGGGAAAAGGACATTGAGATGCTTTTGTTTCTGTTAATTATCCTATAATCTACAGAACGGGCGTTCTCTGGAGACACAGGGTCTGTCTAAATTAACTACCTGAGATGAAGAACAAATGTGCACTCAACTTCATCACAGACCATAGACTCTGAAATGTTGAATGAGCATGAAGTTTAATTTTTAATTGTAAGACAAAATGTATTTGATATCATTTATACCCTGATTTAAGGACATGACACTTCTGAAGAAAATGAATATCATGAATTATGTAGCTCAGATACTTCTTAGAAAAAGAATAAAGGGAAGTTATGTCCTTTCTCATGGCTCATTAAAGAAATTATGGAAATTAGAGAGCCTGAATATGCAAAACAAAAAAGCCTGAAGCGTAGTCGTTGGTTGGTCAAGGCAGATGCTGCATATGGCTTGTTTGAGCTCCATCATTCTAATTCCAGGTTCTACACCAGAATCACTCACTCGGAGTATTTTTATATGACCAATGCCCAGATCCCACCAGTAGAATTCAGTAGATATGGAATGAGAAAAGGTCATTGTCCATGATAGCTGAGGAGTTTAATTGCCAGTTAAGAATAATTCTACTAAGTCCATGTATGTTTCTCCCTTATCAGAAGAACTATGCTCACTGTAAAGCGCCCCCCCAACATTTTTAATGGCCAGTAAATTCATTTCTTCCAGGGGAGGCAACAGAGGTCAGCAAGGAACCCATAGGGACTGCATGCCCGTCACACTGATCCCATGGAATGACGGGATACCTGGAAGAGCCTCACAGAGTCAACACCAGCCAGTGAAGAGTTTCTGGTAAAGGAGGCTGTGACCCGCAAAGACAACTGTCTGAATGGAGGGATGAGTAGCCCATTACTGGCTGCACCTTCAGCACCTGCAAGGGTTGACTTTACCCCTCGCCAACCCTACTCGGTAGAAAGAGAACCTCACTCTGACAGTGACCCCTAGGTTTTCATGAGGCACTCTCTTCACCCCAGCTGGTTTTTGCTTCTCATTTACTTCTGACGAGCAATTCTCAACCATTCAAATGGCTGAAAATCCCTGATTGGTGGGAAGCCCTTGGGAGTCAGTTTCTGTCTTTGTCCCAAGTGCAGTTCTCCAAACCTCACAGCTGTATTCTGTAGTCAGTTAAAAGCAATATCGATCCAGAGAGATGGCTCGGTGGTAAGGGTGCTTGTTCCACAAGCCAGATGACCTGGGTTCAAGCCCTGGAACCCTCCATAAAAACAGAACTGATTCCTGAACTTTGTTCTCTGACTTCTACAGTTACACCATGCTATGTGTGCATCCATAGACACACAGACATAAATACATTGTAATAATGATAATGATAATAATAGTTTAGTCCTAACACATTTTGTTACCCAAGCAAGTCAAAGAAGTCTGTTTTTTTTGCGTTACACTCAAACATGTAAACAACACATATCCCTCTGAGTTCTTGTACTCGCTGTATCTTGTCTTTGCTGCATATATATCCTGCTATTCTTTGATACTGAAGATCTACCCGATCATGTATTTCTCTAAAGCTGTGATCAGAAATTAATCTGTCGAATCATAAGAAATTTCAAATAAAAAAAAAATCACTCTCTTGTTTCCCTGAAAGGCGCAGTAGAATAGTCAGAGACCCACAGTCTATCTGAAATTAAAATGCATGGCTTTGAGGCTTCTTTGACGAGGAATAATTATTTATGTCGTCTGCTAGCCAAGCACAGAGATTGCTAATGTCTGCCCTTGAGGGAAATGAACTGTGTGAACAGTTCCAAGCAAACACGGTCCAACTGTTCATGGAAAGGAGCAGGCAGAAGAAATCCACGGGGTTCTCTCTAGATTGCCCCCAAATTGCCCGGATCAGCACCTCTTTTCTCCCCAACTAAATTCATAAATGAATGAGGTTTTGAGGGGAGGAGGACCATCATCCTGTCTCCACAGATGTTCAGCATCATGTATCACAGTGATGACTCAACACTCAACACAACACCAGGGTGCCATATAAAGACGGCCGGGCTCAAAGCTCTGTGGTTCCACTTGCTTCAGGCGTCGAACTGTGCCTTTTTAAGATGGATTTCCTTCATTGGAGCGGAGTACTCATTATTCAACACCTACAGAGAGACTACAGGGCTTACTATGATTTTCTACATTTTATGTCCAATGTTAGAGACCCCCCGGAATACATTTTCTGTTTACTTTCCACTTTGGTTTCAACTGAATCAGGTTGTTGGAACCAAGATGATATGGGTAGCAGCTATAGGGGACTGGTTCAACCTTATATTCAAATGATAAGACTCCTGACTTGTTTTATGTTTTTCCTAAAATATTTGCTTACATTTGTGATTTTTGATTAATGATCAGGTTTCAGATGTATGTAGTTTGACTTGGAATATATTCCAAACAAATTGGTTACTTTGAGACACCAGATTCGTAAGTAGAACTTACAAAAAGTGTAGAAATACTTACTGTGACTGAATTATAGGTGACTGCAAGACCCACATATGCTATGATTAACCAAGAAGTTAGCGGGACAGTAGTGTGACTGATGAGTCTAAGGATCATTTTGATAGTCCCACTCTAAGTTCCCAAAGCACCCATAGGACTTCCCCGTTTATGGCAGACAAGGGTACCCAAACCCCAGACACTATCATCTTTTGTAAAGATGAGAATCCAAAACCCAAGTTATATCAGGGTGTTTCAATCATGACTCTTTACTTGAGTCAGTTTACAAGAATGACAAGTCTCCACTGAGTTAACGGTTGTATTTAAGTACAGGTGAAATTTGTATGCCTTTAATTGCAGGATATTATTTGGGCATCTTCCAAGAAACTCAGATTTACCCAAATCACTCAAGCCCACGCGTTGACCAGTTTCCTACTACATGTGAGACAGGTCCAGGCAACAATTAAAGCAACCTCACTTTACGGACGTCTTTATGCATGATTAGCATCCTATGATCACATGATAGCTAGGATCTCAAAGAAAGTGTCATGAGTGGGGAATGCTTGACATTTATTGTAACAATTGCTAATGAGGAAGGAAAGAATTTTATAGTAGTCGGATTCTGCATTATTATTTGTGAAAGATTATGTGCGGAGAATCTTTCTAGAATCGATTATACTTGGGTATTTACTTTTGGAAGTAATGGTTTGATATGAAACCAAATGGGAAAAAAAACCAGTAAGCTAGAACAAAGTCCCAAAGAACTCCATTAAGAGTCTAGAAATGGCCGGACATGATAGCGCACTCCTTCAATCCCAGCACTCAGGAGGCAGAGGCAAGTGAATCTCTGTGAGTTCAAGGTCAGCCTGGTCTACAGAGCGAGTTCTAGGACAGCAAGGGTTTGGTATTTAACCTGAGAGGCTTTCTGCTGGGTGAAAAGTTACATCTGACATCTAAGTAAAGCAGTTAAAAGCAAAACTAGCAGTATAGGAAAGACATCCATTTTGGTGGTAAGGAAAGGCCGGTGACAGGAAACACCTGATGGCAGATGTTTTCTGTCCAAAGTCACACCCCGCTTTTAGTGTCTTTGTGGGTTGGATTCTCCATTGTTTCGCCAAGATTCTCGCTGCAATGGCCACAGTGTGCACATTGTGGTTTCTGCATGCACACAGCAGCTGTTTGAAAGTCAATTGGTGAACCACAAGCAGAACAACGGTAGCCTATTAGCTTAAGGAAAATAAATCGATTCAAGTTCCAGTAGAAGTACTTTAATTTTCTTGTCAATTGAAAACAACACATGAAGAATGAATAAGACTGTGTTAGCATTGTCTGAAACTGCCCCTGCTCTTAATTACACACAGATATATTGATTTGCAGAATTCAGTCAGCTTGAAAGTCTGGAGGGAGAGAGAGAGAGAGATACCTAAAGCATTCTCATTAAAGAAAGTTAATGTAGAATTACATAAAGTTATATCTGATTATATATGTTGTAAGTTCATGATATTCAGGACTTCATGGCCTATTCCATAATGTGGAATTGTCTGAGAAGTCACATTCCCTGTATTTGACACGGCAATTTTAACTCTATTATTATCCATATTACAAATGATCAAGAATGGGCTACTCCTCCAGGGACCAAGAGGAAAAATCAGATCTTTCTAGCAATTTTCTCTCTGCTCCTTTTTTTTTCTTTTAATATAATAGTGTTTTTGAAGTCGTGAGTTTAAGCCACAAATTGACTGCACTTTTATCTACTTCTATACAGCACATATCAACCTGTAACCAACGAGGCTTCTGTTTTATTTTAGTGTAATTTACATGGCAAATATAACATCCTATTATCTCATTTTTGATTCCGATAATTAACCACTGTCTGAACAAACAATGCTCGTTACAGGAAGTCCATCTGGTCACGCAATGGGCTCTTTGTGTGTCTGGTATGTCATGGTAACAGCTGCCCAAAGCCACACCGTCAGCCAGATGGACAAGTTCTCTGTCACTCTGCACGGGTCAACGTGCCCCAACTTCCGTAGCATTAACAAGACAGTGTTGAATACGTGAAGTCGTTTCTAAGTATTCATTTTAATACATGTTCAGTTGTTCAATGAAATGTGCTTATTCCATTCTTTCACAGCCCATGTAGCAGACTGAGGGGAAATGAATATTCTGCTTTAAGATAATGTCCTAATTAGCTCACAGCTATTACCACTTTTATAATTGAGTTGGAAATGTTTATCTGATTAATGACTTGCTAAATACGCCTTTGGGATTCTGAAATTCAATTATTATTTTGATACCTCATAAACAAGCCATCCAAAATTGCACAAGGAAACATTTTTGCATGTACATTCTCTTGCCTCAAGATTAACTTAAAAATTTAAGAATCTTCGTTGCTCTTGAATGCGTTGATTTATCTAGTGAAATTATGCTTCCTACTCTGAACACCCAATGCTTTTAAGATCACTAAAATATATTCTAGCTGTTAAAATCTGTGCAGTCTTTTTAATTAAAACATTCTAGAGGCAAAATTAAATTCGTGTGTTAGATTTACTGCCAACAGATTTCTTAATGTCGTAGACCCTTGCAGAACTTTAAGATAGCACACCATGTAGAAATTGGCCTTTTTCCTCTGTTCTTCCTTTGAAATTCTTTGTAATTAAAGCAGTCCTAGACATCACTTTAGTCATAGATTGTACAGCTTTGGTTAGAAGCAGAAACATGCAAAAGAATCCTAGCGAATATTAAAATTCAACTATTAAAAAAGATTGCATTGAGTGCCAGGAATCCTCAAATGTTATGTTGTTGACAAGCAGACCAAAATTTAGTTATTGAAAAAAAACATGTCAATTTTTTAAAAAATCTAGCAAACAACCATTACCAATATAGACAATTTCTTCTAAAATAAAGAATTGAAAACATTATTCTACTTCTTAAAGAGTAGTAGAGAATAACGTAAGCAAGAAGTCTATGTGGGCCATTCTTCCCTCAAATGAACAATTCTGGAAAAAATATGTTTGTTCTAAAAAAAATCCTTATTCCTTTTTGATATTTGTAATGGCAATATTTTCTTCATCTATCAAAATTTAGTGAGTGAGGCCTGAAGAGATGGCTCAGACGTTAAAAAAGCATTTGCCTTATCTTGCATGGGACTTAGGTTCAGTTCCCAGAACCCAGATGATGGCTCACGACCATCCATAAGAGCAGTTCCAGGGGGTCTGACAACCTCTTCCGGCCTCTAAGGTCACCAGGGACACACATACGGTGCTTTATACATACATGGAGGCAAAACACTCATACACATAAAATAAAAATAAATTGACTCTTCAAAAGAAAATGTAGTGAGTGCCTGCACTTTACCAGACATTTCCAAATCCTTATTAATTATTCTTCCCTTTGGATAAACACTGGATACCTCTCCTTTGGGAGACTCTTTTCTTCTTTTTAATCTTTGAGCCTGCTGTAACTAAATCATTAGTCTAGTTGTTAACAATAAACCAGTTGAGGGTTCCTGGCACTAAATACAGCAATTTTTATTGTTTGGATTTTAATATTCTATACTGTTTTTTGTGTACATTTCTGCTTCTAATTGAACGTATACAGTACATCTTCTTGTGCTTCATTTTTCTGTATAACATGCAGCAATCAGGGTCCCTGAGAGTCTATGAGATTACACACAGAGAGGTCCTGGGCTCAGTGGAGCATTCATGAGCTTTTTCATCTAAATGGACGCTGCCTCTCCAGTGTTTTCTTCAAACAAAGAAAAGCTGAGAGTGGAGGGCAGCGAGGAAGCACAAATGTCAGGGGACAAAGATCTGCATGGTTTATTCGTGATTTTTCTGGATACTGCTAATTCCTCCCCCCACACCTGGATCTTTCTTGCTCCCTCTTTCCTATTTCAAGGTCATCAAATGCTTTCCTCTTAAGAATGATATTAAAATATATTAAATATTAAAATATTTCTCGAAGAAAAATATCTTTGAGAATTTCATACAATGTATCTTGATATTAATTTCCTCTCATCCACCTTCTCCCAGATCCACCCTTACCTCCTTACAAATCCAATTTAGGGTCTCTGTCTCCATCACCCCACTCCCTCTCCCCACCACTCTATCCCTCCCTCTACCCCCCCCCAAACTCATTAAGAGGAAACTGTGTTACTCAACTGCTCTTGAGTGTGGAGCCTTACTGGAGCATGGTGGGCCTAGCAGGTATCACATTCTTAAAAAAACAAATCTAACTTTTCCCCTCCCCATGGCTATCAAATGCCAGTAGCTCCTCTGTTGGAGTAGGATTTCATATCCACATCCCTCTTGCCCCCCGACCCCGTGCTTACATTTTTGACTACATACACTCCTTTTAAACATTCATTAAAGCCTTAGGAGATAGCATTGAGGAATGTGAAGTCCTGTGCAAAAGCTCTTGAATCCTATGGAAGCTGTGAAGGTGTGTGGAAAAGAGACTCTCAAATTGTGTTATGTCACATCTGGGAGATTCCCATAAGGACTATGAGGTGTCAACACCTAAGTGTAAGGAGTTACGATTTCTTTGCTAGTCACATCTGTGTCTACTCTTCCATCACAGACTGACCTGGTCCTTGCTTTGGAGTGCTTTCTGGTTGATTCAAGTCGGTGTCTGTATCTCCAGGGTGTTCATAGCAACACATTTTCCCCATCAGGTCATTGTCGGAGTCATGGGTGGTAATATGGTCTCTTAGGATTAGTTGTGTGGTTTCACCGTTGCTTTGCTTGCCGCTCCGTGGTGTCAGGCGCTTCCTGGTCATCAGGTTTCCGGTGTCAGAGGTACTTCTAGCAAGCTACTAACACAAATGCTACCACGGGGGCTTAGGTGATGTGCTGCTCTCCTGAGCGTCTGTGTTCATGCTGACACAGTCTCACTATGTAACTGAGTTGCTGCACGGTGAGATGGGCTTTTCTGAGGTGTAACTAAAGTGAATCCATCTTCTAAACCATCATGTCATGTATTTGTGCTTTTGGGGGACTTTATAAAGACCCTGCAACTCACAGCCACACAGTCTGGGTTATCTAAATTCTGATTGCATGACTCAACTTCACTTAGTGGCTGCTTTGTACTGCTTAGTGCTCTGCCTGCAAAATGGGTTGTCATTCAACGCTCCTGACTCCTAACTGATCCTTCTTGGCCAGTGTAGGTAGTTGAAAGACTATGGGATTATCCTGTTTTCGATGAATGTCTGAAAACACTTTAGGAAACCGTTAGAACCTGGATGTCTAAAGCCCTCCCCAGTGCAGAGGAGAGATTACTGAAGGGCTCAGGCTCACACACTTATGCCTGTATCTCTTTGTAATCCCTAGGGATGCTAGTAGCAGAGGCCTTTAACACACTCCAGGCATCCACATGGCCAGCTTGAATGTGTACCGGAAGTCCAACATCTTCCTCTTTGCACTTGGCTTTTACCTGTTTGCACTTGGCTTTTACCTGCTTCTCAGACTGCTCAACATTGACCTGCCTTGGTCTCTGCCTATAGCCAAAAAGTGGTGTGCCAACCCAGACTGGATCCACATTGACAGCACGCTTTTTGCTGGACTTGTGAGAAACCTCGGGGTCCTTTTTGGCTTGGGTTTCGCCATCAACTCAAAAATGTTCCTATGAGCTGCCGGGGAGAAAATGGCCGCAAGCTGAGCTTCCAGTTGCTCCGTGCCATGACCTCGCTGATCACATTGCAGCTTTATTGCTTCATCCAGATCCCAACTCACAGGGAACCCTGGTTTTACCTGTTGCCTTTCTGTAAAAGCACATCCATCCCACTGGCTGTGGTGGCTCTAATTCTCTACTGTGTCCATATGCTAATGAGACCCAGTTAGAAGAATATTAAGTAGAGCTGTGCCTGCCCTGATGCTCCTGGGTCCCAGGATCACCTACTTCCTGCATCCCTCAACAGAACCACACAATGGAGATACTGGAAGCATCTTTGCAGGGGTCACAACATGGTGGCCGCAGAGCCTGCCCCACCACAGACATAGATTTAGTCTGATTTTCCAGGGGCACTTAAAATAACAGTAGTTAGTTGACCGGAAATAATCACATCTATATTTTCTTGACAAACCTGACACTATGGCAACATAGACTTGGCAGAAACGATTGTCTGGGACTGCATACTGGCTGCCCCCATCAGTATGGTGCCTCTCCTTTTCATCATACCCCACAACACTCAATGTACCCTCCAGTCTCCGGTACCTCTATCATTTTAAGGCCTAGTTGTTTCTGGCTCCTGTGGGGGATTTTAGAGGTGTCCATGGTCAAATCCTATCTCCTCATGTGTCAGATAAGGAAATGGAGGTCCATTCAGATCAAGCAATGTGTCTATAATGATGCCGCTTTAGAACCAGAATTAGAACCCAAGACTTCTGATACATATCCCTGTGACAGTGATTTGTTTTTCTTTTTAAGAGGTTAAAAAAATCAATAAGAGCAAATGCATGTATTTAGAGTCTATAATTGTCATATAAGACTCCATTTTTTTTTTAAAAAATGGCATTGGAATGCCATATCTATTTGACTTACATCCCGAATACAAAGTCTTTTCTAGGCCAGCAATGGCTGAATATGTGACACCCAAGTTTATCCAGGGCAAATAAACAGAGCCAGCTCCTGTCTGGACCAGAAACTGTCAACTGCTGATCTCTGTTCTACAGAAGTGCTTGGCAGTGTGTCGATAAACCCTGCTGAAGTCACCCCACTGGATTACTGTTTACCAGAAAATGTCTTCACTGTGGCATCCACATATTTTACTTTTAGGAGTCAAGTCTTTTAAAATCAGGAAAACCAAATTCTTCTACCTCCGAAAAACTATTAGAAACATGTGCATCGCTCATCGGACCAATCTTTGTGCCTCACTTTAGAAAATTAATTATGGGCTGTACTATTGACACCAACAACTTCTCGGCACGATTTATTTCTTCCTCATGGAATTCTAGACTTTCAGTGGATAGCCCTGTCTTTCTGATCAAGCTCAAAGATTGTGAGTCTGTCTTCGCTACGTGTTGATAGCCTGTGGTCTCCCTCAACGCAGTCTGTAACTCTTCTCAGGAGCATTATACATGAATTGCTTTAGGTGATGATGTATTAAATAGGCCACAAATATGGATGAAAACATACCAGTTGATTGTAGTCATGGAAAATAGCATCTCTAACACCTAATCACTGGCTGCTCTCCAAGTGTGTTTTTAGAAAATGTACTGTTGGTTTTATAAGACACATTAACTAGTGTTCTTTTTTAAAAAGGCAATTGATTCCTTAGGGGGAAAAAAAAGCTCAGAGCAAAAGAAGCTTTTACTTGAGAATAAATCCATCCCATGTTGATTGGGGAACTGCGGGGGAAAGAAGTAGGAGAGAATCGTTCTTGTGTTCTTGCGCATTTCTTCAGCTTTCCTTGTCACTGTCCCTGCACAAGGCTACCTTAGTCCCCAGCACACTGCGTTTTTTGTCTGCCCATCCCCCTCACATGCAAATTTAAGAGACTTCCCTCCGAGCCTTTTTTGGAAGTTTCCTGTAGAGTCAGTAATGTTCATCCTGAATCTTTCATCCACGTACACTTTGAGCCTGCTTTCACCCAGGCCTGAGGGGACTGGGGCATCAATAGGCTGGGATTCTGCTGCTATGCCTGACTCTACCAGGCTTTCCCTGTAGGTTGCCATGGAGGAACTTTCTTCAGCTACCCTACATAGCTATTTGTAGATAACATGGGATCCTCATGGTGGAGGGAATGGGATGAGGCGCGGCTTATTTTCAATAATTAATCTCCAACAACTCTACCCCCATCTACCGTGAAGCCTCTGAGACCCTCATGAGGAGATTTTTCTTTCCATCTAGTTGAAATCTCCTGAAGGAATCCACTTGGAGGCAATTTGCTTTTGTGATTGAAATTGCTTAGGCAGCAAGAGGAACGGTTCTGTACAGCCTTGGAGAAAATGCCTGATTTTAATCATGATGTAGAAGACTTCGGCTTTCAATTTATTCACAAGAAATAAGCAAAATTGAGCTCATTTGACTCACTATATCCATCTATTCAGTGTCTACGCATCTGCATATTCAAGAGAAAAATGTCAATATCCCAAGCTGTCAGGATGATAAAATCTAGACAAGAGGCTTAGAAACTATCCCAATCAAACATGCATTTGAAAAGAAATGTAAGGGAATTTATTATTGCTAAAACTAGCTACTAAGAAGAATGTTGAGTCACTTTCTTTTGATAACCTATTGATTGGGCTTCTCCCTTAGAAGGTTAAGTTGGTGCCATCTCTGTATGCATGTCCCTACAACAGAGAGCCTAAAAATGTCATAAGACATTCTTGAAATCCAAAAACAGAACTCTAAATTTTACAGGTCCAAAATTTTTTGAGACAAAATGGACCCACACACAAAATTCTTGGTTAAAAACACCAACCAGATTTTCTGAATGTGGCCGGATTCTCTGAATGTGGCTGGCCCGGAGCCTTTCTGAAAAGCCACTGACAATGACACTGGGACTTGTTTCCTCTGCATGTACTGGATTTTTGGGATCCAGTCTGTTTGGATACTCACCTTCCTGGACCTGGAGGGAGGGGGGAGGAACTTGAACTTCCCACAGGGCTGGAAGCCCTGACTGCTCTTAGGGATGGAGAGGGAGGAGGAGGGGAAGGAGGGGAGTGGGAGGGTGTTGGGAGGAGGGGTGGAAATGGAAACTTTCATAATTTAATAAACTTTGAAAAAAAACAAAACAAAACAAAAAAAATAGTTTTGATTCCCCCAGTCAGAAGGTAGCCTTTTTGTCTTAATGACAGTGTCCTTTGCTTTACAGAAGCTTCTTAGTTTCAGGAGGTCCCATTTATTCATTGTTTCTCTTATTGTCTGTGCTACTAGGGTTCTACCTAGGAAGTGGTCTCCTGTACCCATCCATGTCTTGTAGACTACTTCCCACTTTCTCTTCTATCAGGTTCAGTGTGGTCAGATTAATATTGAGGTCTTTAATCCATTTGGACTTGAGTTTTGTGCATGGTGATAGATATGGATCTACTTTCATTCTTCTCCAGGTTGACATCCAGTTGTGCCAGCACCATTTGTTAAAGATGCTTTCTTTCTTCCATTGTATACTTTTAGCTCCCTTGTCGAAAATCAGGTGTTCATAGGTTTGTGGGTTAATATCCGGGTCTTCTATTCGATTCCATAGGTCGACTTTTCTGTTTTTATGCCAATACCAAGCTGTTTTTAATACTGTAGCTCTGTAATTGAGTTTGAAGTCAGGGATGGTAATGCTTCCAGAAGTTTCTTTATTGTATAAGATTGTTTTGGCTATCCTGGGTTTTTTGTTTTTCCATATAAAGTTGATTATTGTTCTCTCAAGGTTCGTGAAGAATTTTGATAGGATTTTGATGGGGATTGCATTGAATCTATAGATTGCTTTTGGTAGAATTGTCATTTTTACTATGTTGATCTCCCCAAACCAAGAGCAAGGGAGATCCTTCCATTTTCTGGTATCCTCTTCAATTTCTTTCTTCAAAGACTTAAAGTTCTTGTCAAATAGGTCTTTCACTTCATTGGTTAGAGTTACCCCAAAATATTTTATGTTATTTGTGGCTATCGTGAAAGGTGATGCTTCTCTGATTTCCCTCTCTGCTTCTTTATCCTTTGTGTATAGGAGGGCAACTGATTTTTTAGAGTTGATCTTGCACAACCCTTCATCAGACAAAGGTCTAATCTCCAAAATATACAAAGAACTCAAGAAACTAGACACTAAAACTCTAATTAACCCAATTAAAAAATGGGGTACTGAACTGAACAGAGAATTCACAACAGATGAACTTCGAATGGCCAAAAGACACTTAAGGTCATGCTCAACCTCTTTAGCGATCAGGGAAATGCAAATCAAAACCACTTTGAGATACCATCTTACACCTGTCAGAATAGCTAAACTCAAAAACACCAATGATAGCCTATGCTGGAGAGGATGTGGAGTGAGGGGAACACTCATCCATTGTTGGTGGGAATGCAATCTTGTGCAGCCACTGTGGAAATCTGTGTGGCGGTTTCTCAGGAAACTGGGAGTCAACCTCCCTCAGGACCCAACAATTCCACTCTTGGGAATATACCCAAGAGATGCCCTATGATACTGCAAGAGTATTTGTTCAACTATGTTCATAGCTGCACTATTTGTAATAGCCAGAACCTGGAAACAACCTAGGTGCCCCTCAATAGAAGAATGGTTAAAGAAGGTGTGGAACATATACACATTAGAGTTTTACTCAGCGGTAAAAAACAATGACATCTTTAATTTTGCATGCAAATGGATGGAAATAGAAAACTCTTTACTGAGTGAGGTAACCCAGACCCAAAAAGAGGAATACGGTATGAACTCACTCATAAGTGGATTCTAGCCATAATTAAAGGATTTCTAGCCTATAATTCATGATCCTAGAGAAGCTAAATAAGAAGGTGAACCTGAAGAAAATCATATAGTTATCCTCCTGGATATTGGAAGTAGATAAGATTGCCAGGCAAAACTTGGGTGCATGGGGGAGTGGGGGGTGGATGTAAGGGGAGATGGGTAGAGAGAGGGGAGAAGGGGAGGAATGGGGAAAGCTTGGGGGAATGGGATGGGTGGGATGGAGGAAGGGTGGATATGGGAGCAGGGAAGTAAATATTTTAATTAAGGGAGCCATTTTAGGGTTTGCAAGAGACTTGATTCTAGAGGGGTTCCCAAGTCCAAGGAGAGGTCCCCAGATTGTTCCTTGGGCAGCAGAGGAGAGGAGAGGGTGCCTGAACTGGCCTTGTCCCATACCCACACTGATGAATATCTTGCATATCACCATAGAACCTTCATCTGGCG